CTTGATTTAATTTGCTTTTGTTTAGACTTCCTGCTTCTGTTTGTTCCTCACTGAGGAAAATTTCCTAAATCTAACACTTTAAAACAAAGCAAAAACAATGTTGACCATATTGGGTGGTTTTGGAGGGAAAAAAAAGACACTCAGATATGTATTCCCTCCCTAATTCCTTCCCTTCCTCCTTCCCTCCCTCTCTCCTTCACACACATACCTCCTTCAAGAGCACTGAAATTAATTGAAAATACTTTCTTTAGTAAATTAGCTATTATTTTTGTGTAATTGAAAAGGGTTTTGCTTTCTCATGTGTATACTTGATAAGAAAGTTTTGTGGACAGAGAAATGATGGCAGCAAGCTTGACATTAACATGTGCAGTTCTTTGTCACATTTTTCTGCATGTAGCATAAGAATGTATGTCTGTCTGTGCTTCTAAAAGCCTGTTTGGCAGCACTGGTAGAAAAAACATCTCTGATGGCATTCATGTTTCTTCTTGGCACTTGCATTGTGAATGAATGCTTCAGGCCAAAGTAGTGTACCTTGTACACTTAGACCTGGATCCCCCTAACATGCAGTTAGGGGGCATCTAGTTGAGTATGTGCTATGTCAGGTTAAGTATAGCAAATCTTTATTTCATGGCATGACTCTTCAGATGAAGAGTCCACAAAGGATGATCCTGTTTTGCAAACTTAGATCAGCTACATACCTTCAGTAAATACAAACACAGAACGTTAGTCATTTAAAATAATTGTCATCGTATGTATTCATGACTACCGTATTCATTGTTGCAATGTTTGCACTGTTAAGGTTGCCAGAGGATTTTTCACTCTTACACATATCACAATTACTGTGGTTAAATGTAGACTTTGAATGTTACTATCACAAGCACTATCACAAGAAACTCATTTCCAAATTACAGTCTTGAATAAAAATGTTTTCATGCTTCTCTATGCAGTGAAACTGAAACTGTACTAATCTCAGTGCCACTGGAAGCACACGTTACATTTTCTTTAACTGGGCTTTTTTTTTTCTTAATTCAAATCAAGGATTGTTAAAACAGCTGTATATTCTTTCCTGAAACACCCACTGCAGCAATTTTGTTTTTATCCTTTTCTGATTTCCCAGCTGAAGACCCACCAATGGTTCTTAGTAAACTTCTTTCGGGCGATTTTAATAACTCACTTTTCCCCTCCTGTTATAAACCATTTAATTGATAAAGAAGTGGGTTCTGGTAATTCCTAAATTAAAAAATTCTTTATAGCCCAGAGATAATCTGAAGATGGGAAAGTTGTTGGTGAATTCTTAATGATTCTTAACTCAAGTCTAAAGTATGCAAAACGTCAGCAGTTCACTGGCCTGGGATTTCACATCTTCCTAGTGTATTGCTTGCTGCCCTGGCTGTCTTTGATTTTGTTCAGATGCTTCTAGGGGTGGTCAGAGCTCATGTTGAAAACCTGTTTTTAAAAAAGCAGGGTACAGATTGATCCCTTACAAAATAAAATTTGCAGTATTTCATATGTTTCTTCAGATTCCTACAAAGGAAGACCAACATTTCGTAGAGTTTTTGACTAGTTACAATTGGCTTTCACTAAGAAGGGATATCCAGACTTACTGTTAGAGTCGAAAAGATGCCAAATTAAATGGTCCCAGACTGAGTAGTCACTACTGTTGCTTACCAGGAGATGAACAAAATTCTTAGTGTGTCTGTTGGTCTTCATCTCTGAGCTGTATGTGATTGGCTCAAACGATGACTGCCAATTTCTACAGCCTAAAATGGGTGATCATTCTTTAATCTACCAGGGGAGGGACTGCGTTCACAGTGTACTGAAACCGTAACCATACCCAGGCCAGGCATTGCTAGCGCCGTTATGAATTACAGGCTATCTTCAGGAGCATATGTACTGCACCATTTGCTTACTTTTAATAGCACTATTTTTTGAGTGTTAGAAGAATCTAAATATCTGAAAGCGAAATGGGTATTAATGGAATTTTGGTAAACTTGGTGTTTCAACCTTACTCTGCCATGCTAACTTGAAGCTTTTTGATGGCTTCATTTCTTCAAATGGCTGGCAGTAATCACCAAAAGTTTAGAGAGACTTGATACTTTTAATATTAAATGGTTACATTATTTAGAGGTATATGTTATGCTGTTATAATATTTTATGTGGAGGGGGATGTTGTAGCAGGAAAAGCTTTCAAATAGTAGAGATAAGGTGACAGTGTGTGATGCCCATGATTAGATTTGCTGGTCAGCTCATAGGGTCTTGGGTTCATCAAACAGCGTAAACTGAGGACATGATATTTTGTAAGATGGAATGCAAAACAAGGGTCTAGTTTTTTTGTCTTTTTGTTTTTGTTTTTGTTTTTTTTGAGATGGGCTCTTACTGTGTTGCCCAGGCTGGCCTCAAACTCCTCAAGCAGTCCTCCTGCCTCAGACTTCTGAATAGTTGGACTACAGGTGTGTGTGTGCTATCATGCTCAGCTTAAAACGTCCTAATTTTAAAAGAATGGGCATTGTTCTGTAAAATGTCATTTATAGCAAAGTTGGTATGCCATGCAATAAGTTTATCAAAGCTCTCTAGCTAGATTAGACTTATTTTTTGAAAGTTGACCGATAATAAAAGTAATAAGTCCGCCATCATTTTTCTCATTTTTAAGCAGATACGTAATTGGGTAGTTGAGATTATTTTCCATTTATCCATTGCTTTTGATAAATGTCAGACAAGTGTTTTAAGCCCCTGTAACCATTTGTGAGGCTTAATTTCTGCCCTCAGAGTGCTTCAGAGTTTTTTTTTTTAGCTCCATTACACCAGTGGTCTTGACACTTACCTACTCAAAATAATTTTTAAATTTTTTTAGAGTGTCTTGTCTCGTCACCTGGGCCTGGAGTGCAGTGGTGTGATCAAAGCTTATTGCAGCCTCAAATTTCTTAGCTCAAATGATCCTCTCATCTCAGCCTCCTGAGTAGCTAGGACTACAGGTGCACACCACCACTGCTGACTACTTTTTAAATTTTGTTTTTGTTGAAACAGTTCTTGCTGTATTCCTCAGGCTGATCTCCAATTCCTGGTCTCAGAATGATCCTCCCACCTTGACCTTCCGAAGTGCTGGGATTACAGGCATGAGACACCATGCCTGGCCTCAAAATAATTTTGAAAAAGGATATGCTTACACCTTATCAAATTGACATCTGAAAGTTTTCATCATAAAATTTTTCATTTTAAATTTAAATAGTTGCAAAGGAAGCAATTTTCTGGCATGGTGGCAATTTGTATTCATAATTTAAGATACAACTGTTACATTACTCTTGAAGTACATCCTATGGAATGTAAATGCCATTGCAGTTTGACTACTGCCATTCTTCATTCAAAAAGTTCATTAAATCCAAAATTCTACTCTGTTCTTCCTTCTTGGTCTCATGTTTCTATTTTACTCCTCTTAAATTTTATCCTAATATGACATACTTTTATACTTGAAAATCTTTAGAAATTTTTTTCTTATTTATATTTTTTGAGTCTTCCAATGGCCTAACTGAAATTTTTAAATGATCACCTAAAAAAAATTACCTTACAACAAATTTACATAAATTGAAATTTAATTTTTAAAATTTCCTGTGGCCATTGCCTCTTAAGTCAGTCAAGAAATTTAAAACTTATTAATAGCAATTTATCAAAAACAGCAAATCATACAGATTTTGATAAATATTTATTAAATGTAAAAATAGAATGCATCGGAAATGCATCTTGAATGAGGAGGCAGGGTAGAACATAACTTCTAGAATTTTATAGATGTGAGAAATTTTGGGTTAATTTTTCTTCAGCAGTGTCATTCAGGTCTTTTTGAATTGTCTGTCAAAAATCCCAGAGCCATTTTTGTATGATCTAGTATATTATTTCAGTATATGTCAGTTGACAGTAGGTCCTCCTGAATTATTTTGAAAGCAAAGAATTGAAAGTTACCTACCTGACTTATAGAAAAACTCAGTCATTAGAGTTACGTATTTTTTCTTTCTTTCTTTCTCTTTTTTTTTTTAATAATTTGTTTTCTTGGAAATGGGGGTCTCACTCTGTTGCCCAAGCTGGAGTGCAGTGGTACAGTCATGGCTCACTGCAGCCTCTCCTTCCTGGGTTCATGCCATTCTCCTGCCTTAGCCTTCCAAGTGGCTATGACTACAGGTGTATACCACCACACCTGGCTATTTTTTTTTTTAATCCTAGTATCTTTAGCTTGGCTTTTCGAGAGTCTTTCTTCATTATATTTATTATTTTAATATTTTTGGTAGAAACAGGGTCTCACTATATTGCCCAGCCTGGTCTTTTAACTCCTGGGCTCAAGCTATCCTCTCACCGTAGCCTTCCAAAGTACTGGGATTAGTGGCATGAGTCACCATGTCCAGCCTGGGAGAGTCTTATACCCCAGGGCTATGGTTAGATGTGATACCTTTCTTGTGTAAAATGAGAGAAGGATGTTATGAAAGGGGACCCTTGAAACCAAGTGCTCAGATCCATTGGTGTTAAGAAAGAATACCTGTAGAGTGAAATCATTTCATGTGATGTCTATATCTGAGGTCTGAAGACTTGTATTTGAGATTACCCTGGTGTGCTTAGCATGCTTTTGACTTTGACTTTGTCAGCTCTCCTAATTGTAATACTTAGTGTATCTCCATGTCTTTGTTCCGTTTTGGGTTGGAATTTTGCCTGGAGCTGAAAAATATTAAAGTTCATCATAACTCTTCCAGAAAATATAAAACATAGACAGACAGTAGATAGAGGAAATACTGTACACAGTTGATATATCTTGATGCTGGGCCTGTCTCGTCTGTCTTGAGAATTGTTAATCTTTTAGAGGTATCAGAGAAGCGACATGGGTACTGGTGAGGCTACTCAGAAGGGAAGAGGACAAAAAGAGCACTAGCTAGGTCAGAGCCATGGTTCAGGTCACCATGTGATGTCAGATGTTGCTTATAAATCCTTTCTTGTCTTTGCCATTCTTAAATCTTGATGGGTGTCTGTTGGGAAAGTGATAAAGAGGATACTGGTAAAGAGGGAGGAGAAAGTTCTCGAAAGCAAATTATACTTAAGCATATATTTTAAATGCCTTTATAAATTTTTGCTGCTGTCCACTTTAGGTCTTCTCTAAGATTAATCAGTGTTTAGACACACACAGCAGGTAAAACTTTTCTTTGCCACACAGAAGTAAATTTGACATGTGTCTGTGAGGTTGCTTGATAAATATCAGGTGACTTGCATTTTATAATCTTGCATTTGGCTAGGGAATAAATTACAAAAATATTTCTTCCACATATTTTAAAGGCATATTATTAATTTATTTCTGTTTCTGTCTTTAGTGTTCTCCGTGGCCCGATGCCCCCACAGCCTATGTGAATAACAGCCCTTCCCCAGCACCCACTTTCACCTCCCCACAGCAGAGCACTTGCAGTGTCCCGGACAGGTATCTAGTTTGCATGATCGTGTGCCTGCAGCTAACTAATGTTCATGCACCTTCATTTTCCCATCTCTCCATGTACAGCAGCCTTTTGTTTGTATTGTACCTGAAGAATATAGTAATGGGAAGTAGCTCGTACCCCTGTGGCAGAGGACAATCATTGTCTTTTCTTCACCTACCAGCCATTTTTACTCCTGGCCCCTTGTTCTTTACATATTCACAACTATTGTAGACAAGGGATCATTTTCAAGGTATAGCCAAGATACATTCTTTGTGAGATTAAAGACAACATTAATAGTGTCTGCAGGTAAAGAGAGAAGGACCAAGGGAGTTTATTACTAAGATCATTCATGTGTCTATAATGCTTATCATATCAAAGGTGTTTTCTGCTCTATTTCTTTTCTCTCCCAACAGATAGACTGTTTTTTAAATTGAAACTTTAAAATTAAAGGAAGACCTTTCAATTTCTGCAGATTTGCTGTAGTTTTAGAAATGGAAACGGTGGGCTCTGTTTATTCTGTTATCAAGCCTTGACTGGCAAGAGTTTAGTGAGCTCAGGGTGGGAGGAGGAGACTCCATTTGGGGCATCTTGACAGTGCAGTGGTACCCCGTGGAGGCGCTCCATTCCAGGGCTGTGCCGCAGAACTAATGCAGAGTAGTTCACATCAGAGTTCCTTATTTTTAGGAAGTTTCTTGTTGGAAGGAAAATTATGAAAGCTTAATACCACAAAGGAAAAGGTTGTCCAGTCATGCTGACGAGGTCTGATGAGAAAGCAAGCAAACAGTGTGCTCTCTCTTTCTCTCTGAGGAGATGGATAGATAAACTGAGAAGGCAGCTTCTTGTTACATAGGCTGTTATGCTTTTGGTTTTTTTTTTTGAGACAGAGTCTTGCTCTGTCGCCAGGTGCCAGGCTGGAGTACAGTGGCGCAATCTCAGCTCACTGCAGTCTCCACCTCCTGGGTTCAAGCAATTCTCCTGCCTCAGCCTCCCTACTAGCCGGGACTACAGGTGCATGCCACCACGCCCAGCTAATTTTTGTATTTTTTAGTAGAGACGGGGTTTCACCATGTTGGCCAGGATGGTCTCGATCTCTTGACCTCGTGATCCGCCCACCTCAGCCTCCCAAAATGCTGGGATTACGGGCATGAGCCACTGCAACCGGCCTGGCTATTATGCTTTAAGAGTAGGAAAATACCCTTGGACTCAGAAACTTAGAGGAGTGACCAAGGACCAGAAGGTTACCATGTCTGAGGGCTTAGAATAGTTTCCTAGTCAGTCCAGTCTGAATAATCTTAGAAAATGATTATGGCTTTAAAGGTGAGTTGTAAGTTTATGTACTCACTAGTAGACTGGAGAACTCACTGGGTCCCCAGCACTTTTCTAAGTGTTGCGCAATGTAATGACCAAGCAGACAGACCCCTGTCCAAAGGAGCTTAAGTTCTCGTGGGTAGAAAGGATATAAACAATCAAGATAATAAACCTAAGCAATTGAGGCATGGGTGCTGAGAAACGTGATCAAGAGCCAGAAGGTAGCCTTATTCCCTTTGGAGTTGTTTTTCATTATATTTCACTTAGAAGCACAAGGATAGTGTTACAAGTTAGTTCTTTTGTTCTCTTGAAATTCATCCTCTTTAATCTTGGATATATGTATTACTTAAAGGAGTATCGTTTTATATTTTTGTGTAGGATCACTATACTATTTCTTGTAGCTCATTTTTTTTTTTTTGCAGTTATTTTCAACTGTTTAATTTGATGTTCATGTTTTTTCCCCAAATTTTAAAAAAATGAATGTGTATCCTTCATTTTCCTTGGGATTCCGACAATAATTGGGGAAGCCCTTTTGTTTAACAAAACTTGAATTTCTTAATAGAACAGATAAGAAGGCACACATTAAGACAGTCTTCTGTGTCTTAATTTTGTCATCATGCCCACACCCTAACCTGTTGCACTTGCATTTTTGCTGCAAACTTTCATAGCTTTCTCCCACATTATTGCCTTACTTGAATTTGCATAGTTTAACAGCTTTTAATGCCTTAATTTAAACATGTATGTATTATACAAATCATTTCTTCCTTTCTCCCCAGCAATTCTTCCTCCCCAAATCATCAGGGAGATGGAGCTGCACAGGCCTCTGGTGAAGTGAGTATCTTTCTACTAAATCTGTCTGATGCTTTCAGGGTTCTACATTTTAAAGTTTTGTTTTTTGTGCAAATTTATGGAGTATGCAAGAAATCTTTTTGCATGTATATAATGTGGTCATCAAGTCAGGATATTTAGGGTGTCTGTCACCTGAGTAGAGTACATTTTTTAAGGTATAGTCATTCTACTCTACTATCAAATATTGAATTTACTCCTTCTATTTTATTGTATGTTTGTTTGTACCCTTTAGTCCAGTTCTTATCCTCTCCCTTATCCTCCACCCATCCCAGTCTCTGTTACCTATTTTTCCACTCTCCACCTTCATGTGTTCAAATTTTTTAGCTCCCACATATAAGTAAGAATATAAGTCTTCCTGTGCCTGGCTTATTTCACTTAAGACAATGAAATATAGATACAGGTTACAAAGAAAAATGAAATGTTCATGTTGTCCATGTTGCTACAAATGATGAATTCATTAGCAGCAGAATGATTTCATTTTCTCCTTTTTATGGCTCAGTAGCATCCCATTGTGTATCATGTTTAAATTGCTGACAAGGGCTTGCATTATTTGCGTTGCTGACTGGTGAGACTCATGCTGTTTTTGGGTGTTTTTTACTCCAAACTCTGAGTCTTTCTGTGTTTTGTTTAAGTGTTCTAAGTTTGAAAGCTTCCTTTTATTTATGTTCATTTTCATTAGCAAATTCAGCCTTCAGCTACAATCCAGGAAACACAGCAGTGGCTGCTCAAAAACAGATTCTCTTCCTACACAAGACTGTTTTCTAATTTTTCAGGTATGTTTGTGTATGTATGTGTGCATGAGAATGTTTGGGTTTTGTTTCTGTGCTTTTATTAACTATATTTTTTAAAATTTTGAAATAACTATAGATATGATGTTGCAAAGAAAAATGTACAGGGAAGTTCTGTATATCTATCCCCCAATAGGAATATCTTGTATTTTTATTAAATACTATTAAAGCTAGACAATTGATGTTGGTTCCGTCAACAGTTTTACCAGACTTACGTGTACTTATTTGTGTGTATGTGTATATAGTTCTACGTATTTTTTTTTATTTTAACCTTATTTTGAAATAATTTGTGTTTTATAGTAAGTTACAGAGCTAGTACAGTGATGTTTTGGTATACTCTTCACTCCATTTCTCACCTAATTTTAGTACAATAGCAAAACCAGGAAACTGACATTGGCACATTGTATGTTATGGTATAGACTTGTGTACCTACCACCACAGTTAAGATACAGAATTATGCCAGCACTACAATGGTCTCCTTTCTACTACCCCTTTAGAGTCACACACACATCCCTAATCCCCCCACCATCCCTAATCCCTGGCAACCACTTTATATTCTGTCTCTATGATTTTGTAATTTTGAGTGTTATATAAATGCAGTCATATAGTATATAATCTTTTGAGATTGGCTTTTTTTCACTAGCATAATGGTCACCTAAGTTTTTGTGTATATCAGTAGTTTAATCCTTTTTGTTACTAAGTAGTATTTCATAGTCTGAGTGTACTCACTTATGGTTTTTATATACTTATATGTAAGTTTTTTTTCTTGCACAGTAAGCTAAGGGAATGTTTAGAAAAATTTTAAAAGGTACAAAGCACTGCTTCTTCAGGTGGTGCTATAGGAAGCCTGCTTAGAGGAACAGTAATAGATAATGCAGGTGGTGCAAAAGGAGCATTTCCCAAATATATTTGACTGTGGGACTCCTTTCCATCATGACCACCTAGTAACATGTCCTGGCCAAATATCCTGAGACATGCTGGCTCACAGTAAAGTGGTAGTTAGCTTCCTTCACCTGCAACTTTGTGAATCTTTTAAGAGGACAGAACTTGTGTGTACACACACTCAGCCTGAAGGAAAGCTTGATTTAACAAAGAACATGGTTTCTTACTATGCCATGGTAGTGTTTATGCAATGAGTAGGTATTCCCCATGTAGTTGTCTCTTTAAAATTATAGTTCCAGATGGAAGTCATTTGCTAGCTGGGGACTACATTTCTATATGATTAAGTAAAACTTTTTATGGATGAAAAACTAGAAATTATAAAATTTCAACATGGGGGAGCTGGGGTTTGTCTCGCACTGTTGTATGGAAGCAGATGAAAAGCATAGCACATAGAAAAAGCACCGACATTTGGAACTGAGGGAGGCCCCACATTACTCCTGTTAGATTAGGCAGATCCGTGTTTCTATCTGGTGAGTTTTAAGCCCTTTTTACTGTGAGTAGTGTCCACATGGTGTTACCTTCTCCCTTTTCCTTATCCTGGGGCTTCTTCCAAGAAAGTGGGTGAGGAGCTAGCCATGGTACCCTTTGGGTACATCTCATGAGTCACAGCACTGACAGTAGCATGGTGAGGAGGAGAGTGAGGCTTCTTGCTCTATCTTTGTGGGCATTCACATT